TTTGCGTAGAGGAAATCTTTTTCCTTGACTGTTTAGAAACTCGATTCCCAGGTCGCCCAAGACTATGATTGATGTAAGCCCATGCCTCGCGGTGTCACCTTACTAGAAACTTTCCTGAAAGTCATCGATTCACAATAATTTTCTCGGTGATTGTAATATAGTGCCAAAGGTATGATGAAGATGCTCGAAAAGTCAGGATTGGTGCTGCGGGGTAACTGTTGAGATATCAAAGCAACAGATTAATTGACAAAGGTTCTTCCACTCAGCCATCAGATCTGTCTCTCGTCGATTTTCGAGCTGATCCTGTTGGTTTACATCTTTTCAAGTAGTACATATTTGCACACCTGTCCTGGGGCCCGTATATCAACCAATCTGTCGCGAGAACCTATCATTTTCCTCGTTGGTCTTACTCTAACTAGTTTGCAGTGCTGAATGATCTGAATCACACAGGCTGTCTTCTGAAAATGAAAAACTGGGGCTGTTGCAAAACTCTTTTCGAGGCCCTGGTGACGCACTCCTTCGGAGTTAGAGATCCCGTTTTTTTTTGGACATCTCAAATTTAGGATCATAGAAAAGTGAATAGCAGAAATTTCTTTTGGTCAATGCAATGAGTTTTTCGGTAACGGTGAGAGATTTGCTCATGGCTGACTATTTTTTCATGTTTAATTGATTTCTATGTCAATGAATTTTCGTTTTCTACTTGGGGTATTTGACACAGAATGGGAATGAGAATTCATATCGGATAAGGGACCACAGATGGCCCGATAGCGGTCATTGATGTTTGCTGGTTTGAATATGAAAAGCCCCGCATGCTTGGTCTTTGGTCAGTGATGCATCGCTGCTGCTGCTCACAAACAATTTGTTGTTTCGGGGTTGCAGCGATGTGTTATTGCTTCTGGTGTTTGATCACTGAGCGGCGGAGCGTCAACAAAGAACACATCAGAGGGGTTCCCCCAAGTATTTGGGTGTTTCCCAGGTTTTCCATGAGAACGAGTCCCAGTAGAAAAGGGCTTCAATGGTTAGTGCAAATCGACTTTTCGAAAGTGGGGCAGCAGGGCACGTGCTTTCCTCGTGGGTATCTTTGAAGGTTGTTTTCGCTGGCAGTCGTCGTTCAAAATACACGACAGCTCTCGTTGCTTTGCTGAATGCGCCACGTGACCACTGTCGACCAGTTGCCACTCACAAAAACAAAAACATCGTTTGCAGCCTTCGGGGATTCAGTTAGCAGAAAGCAACAAAAAACGGCTCAAAATTTGTGATCCTCTAGGATCCATGATCACGACCAAACAGCGCTTTTCCAGAACTGATGGTGAATTTATCCTATTGTAAAGTTGNGGGCAGCAGGGCACGTGCTTTCCTCGTGGGTATCTTTGAAGGTTGTTTTCGCTGGCAGTCGTCGTTCAAAATACACGACAGCTCTCGTTGCTTTGCTGAATACGCCACGTGACCACTGCCGACCAGTTGCCACCCAGAAAAACAAAAACATCGTTTTGCAGCCTTGGGGATTCAGTTAGCAGAAAGCAACAAAAAACGGCTCAAGATTTGTGATCCTCTAGGATCCATGATCACGACCAAACAGCGCTTTTCCAGAACTGATGGTGAATTTATCCTATTGTAAAGTTGATCGAGTTATTGCCTCAAATGGCGAAGAGACTTATGATTTGACGAGTGAATCAATCAACTAGGGAACTGAGCTTGACTCTCTATTCACTAAAGGCTCTAAAGACTCCTTCTCATGAGATGGGTTATCGTCAACATCATTTAATTACTAGGCATTTTACGGGAACATTTTGAAAGAAAGGATTTCTTTTCCAACAGATTAGTAAAGCTGTTTTTCTCATGTACGTACTTGCTCCACGGATACGACGGATACATGAAAAAAAGCAGCTTTAAAGTTATCAGTTGAAGTTGGCAATAACCCATCTCTTGGGAAGAGTTTTTAGAGCCTTTAGTGAGTAGTGAGTCGAAATCAGTTCCCTAGTTGACTGATCGACTAGTTAAACCAGATGTTCCTATACAAACCAACCAACATCAATGACCGTTCAAGGACCAACCACTGCGAACGTTCTGGAATCGCACACCTCGGATAGCCACTCAAATCATGACACAGTTAACAGATTGGGTACTTCCGGTACTCCTGGCTTTTCCAGAACTGTCAGTTTTCACTATCAAAATACACTGAAGGTGTAAGAAACCGCTGGCGTTCTGGATGCTACTCGAGAAGGAAGATCCTTCGATTACGTTGTTCGAGTCTTTCTGTTGTTTGTGCCTGCATGCTGCCACTTTTGGAAGGACTATTTATTTCAAAGCATTTCACAACACAATGACAATGTAGCTTAAAAGTGTTAGGTTTGACGAAGTACTCAACTCCCAGAGGAAGAGTAATCGAATCTCATACCCTATCCATACTTTACACAATAATTACAAGAGATGTACATATCCGAAAGACTAATTTAGTGCGATTTGATGGCATCGGCACCTTCCTTTATCTTCCTTCCCATGTAGTCTCGTGCCTCATCAGCCTGGAATAGAAAGCAGTCGCTTGCCATTACATCTTGTGGGAGAAACTGAATAGTACCTTCTGGGCTGCGTGATCCTTGTTCTCCTCGATTTTCCTTCCAGCCTCATCACAGTTTTCCTGGGTGGCACCCGCAACCTGGAAGTAACATTATTGATGAATATGCAATCCACTGAATTCGTAGTGCACGAACCTTTTCATAGCCGGATGCTACGGTGTCCCTCACTTTCTCGTATCCCGATGCCAGGGTTTCCTTTACTGCATTTCCGGCATCACAAACTTTTTCAGTTACGGTGTTGGTTAGTTCCTGGGCCTTCTGTCCAGCACTAGCCAAAACTCCATCCTGAAATGAGGGTTAGAGAGATACCGAACTCATACGAAGAAAGCATCAAAGTAGCAACTTACATTGGAACTCATTTTGATCGCTTTTTGTAGGTTACTTGATTTCTGAAAAGAATGGTATCAGAATTGCGTTGTGGATATCATTTTAGCTCAAATATTCGAGAAAAAAAAGAAGAAACGTGAAAGATTATCGATGAGGAATGAGAGAGAAAGATGAATGAAGGAAGTAAATCTGAAGAACTTTTGGAGCTTGGCTAGGCTCGTTGTCCAGCGTTATCCAACTGGACTTTTATATAGGGTGCTCGAGGAGTGTAATGTTTATGAGACGGCTGCGCGCCAGGTTGATCTCTGAACCTTTACTGTATTTCGTTTCCTGCAGTCCCATGGCTTCGACTGGCAGCGCGTGATAGTAATCAACGGGAAGACTTAAACCACTTAAAAGCGGCCACAGGATCGTTTCCTAAGGGTGTTCACGAGCTAAATTTAGGTATAAGAAACTGATTTCTTTGATTAGCACGTAGCATATATCTTACTGGATGCGTAGAAAAGTTCTGACTGTTACACAAAAAAATTTAATAATAATTTGAAAATCAAGCATGGGCTGCCATTGATGCAGAACGCCCTGGGAATTGTATTGAATGAAAACTCAACACAGTATTTACCTATGTGAATAAAGGAGCGTGGAGGGCACTTTCGCAAAATTCACTTGGAAGATCGACGTTTGCAGCAGCTTCCTGACATTTACTGCCTTTGTTTTAATGCCTAAATTAGAGCTCCCATACTCCGTGTCAAGGTAATAAGTAAGTTAGCAAGTAGAGTGAAAAATACTTTGTCCCATTCGTCAATCAGCCGGCCTAACTTAATAACAGCGTCATGTGCATGAAATTGCTTTTCAAAGGTTGTTCCCTTTCGGACGGGTGTTCTCCTGCTGGACAAAGTCCAGTAATAACGTGACTGCTGTATTTTAGTGATGTGGAGCTATTTTTAGAACGCTCAGCCCAAACACCTACCGATTACAATCGATAAGACAGACAAGATCTTAGAGCTCATAAATATTGTGGTGTAGGGGAAATTCCCAGTGATCGATGTACCCTGGTCGGTAGCCTAATGGAAATTTACTGTTGATTAAATTCTAGGTAAAACTTCTGAGTATAACCACTCTCAGTATTGACAGCAAGCTTAACCTTTGAGTAATTGGCAGCAGTCGATGTCTCAAAGCAGTTCTTTTGCTCGTTCAGTGGGTCTAATCAAAGAAATTAGTCTGAGATATCTAAATTTAGCTCGGGAACACCCTGAGGGGCGATCCCGTTGCTGCTTTTAGGTGGCTTAGGCCTTCGCGTTGTTTACTATCACGCGCTGCCAATCGAAGCCACGGGACTGCAGGAAACAAAATACGGTAAGGGGACAGAGATCAGCCGGGCGGGCAGCCATCTCGTAAACAATCCGCCCCTCGGGCCCCCTATAAAAGCCCAGCTGCATAACGTTAGACATCGAAGCCTAACAAGCTCCAAAAAATCTACAGCAGTACCTCCTCCGGTCATTCTCTTCGCTCGCTCCTCTTCGTGAATTGTTCTCTTCTCTCGCTCTTCTTCGTGTATCTTTCTCTCCTCTCACTCTTCTTCGTGTATCTTTCTCTCCTCCCTATATCGTGTTCCTTGAATATTTGAGCTTAAAAAGTATTCTTTCACTCAACATTTTCTTTTCAGCAATCAAGTTACCTACAAAAAGCGATCAAAATGAGTTCCAATGTAAGTTGCTACTTTGATGTTTTCTTGGTATGAGCACTTCACTAACCCTCATTTCAGGATGGTATGTTGGCTAGCGCTGGACAAAAGGCCCAGGAAATAACCAACAAGACAAGCGAGAAAGTGTGCGATGCCGGACATGCAGTTAAGGAAACCTTGGCATCTGGCTACGAGAAAGTGAGAGACACCGTGGCATCCGGCTATGAAAAGGTTCATACACTTCGAATTCATTAGATTACATCTTGTTCGGCATCGTTATTTCCAGGTTGCGGGCTCCGCCCAAGAAAACTATGATAAAGCTGGAAGGAAAATCGAGGAGAAAAAAGATCACGCAGGCCAGAAGGTACAATTCAGTTTCTCCCACAAGATGTAATGGCAAATGAACACTTTCTATTCCAGGCTGATGAGGCACGAGACTACATGGGAAGGAAGATAAACGAAGGTGCCGATGCCATCAAGTCGCACTAAATTAGCCCTCCGGATATGTACATTTTTGTAATTAATGTGTAAAGTATTGATAGTGTTTGAAGATTTGACATCTCTTCCTATGGAAGAAAAGTAGTTCGACAAACCTACCTCTTTTATGCTACACTGTCATTGTGTTGTGAAATGCTTTGAAATAAATAGTACTTCCAAAAGTTGCAATAAGCAGGCACAAACAACGGAAATACATGAACAACGAAATCGAAGAATCTCCCTTCTGGGTAGAAACCAGAACATTAACTAAGAAACCCTTAAAGAATTGTGATAGAGAAAAAAGACAGTGCTGAAAAGCCACGAGTAATGGGAGTACCCAGTTTATGAACCGTTTGAGATTTAAAATCACTTTGAATTACTCAAACAACCGAAGCTAAAATATAACTAATAACGCAATAACAATTCAAAAACTGAGAACTGACTGTCCTGAAACAACCACGAGTACGGGAGGTGCTCAGTTTGTAAACTGAGTTCCTAGTTTGTAAACTAAGTCATGATTGAAAAGGCTGTCCGAAATTTGCGACTCCGGAACGTTCACTGCGGTTGGTCCTTAAACGCTCACTTTGATAAATAAAGCGACGGTAAAAGTTCTCGTACTCAAATGCCTGTAAGAGGTTGAAAATTGTTACCAACGTTTTCTTGGGAAAAAGACCGTGATCGAAACGGTCTGAAATGACAGCAAGCATTATTGTTATGGCAGTCTGTAATCCTGTTTCATAGGTATTATATTAAGGAATAAATACTGTCAAAAACTCTCGTCATTGTTGACAAGAATGAATTTAATTTTAGTTGTCGCTCTGATAAGTGAGCGATTTTTTTGTCTAATTGACATCAGTAGATGACGTTCTCGCTCCATAAGGATTGTCTATCGTTACCAGTTAGTTGTTGTGATGCGCCCATCTTCGATTCAGAATCGTGTGGCGGTTCGAATGAGTATGTGGCCTATAAAACGAATTGTGGTTACCAGCCGATATTTAAGTTTTATTTTTATTCCCCAGTACCAGTTAACCGATACAGAGGGATAGAAGGCTTGGTTGGCCAAGAAGAGTAACGATCCACGATTCGAACTGCGGACCATGCATATGTGACAGTGAGCCACTTGCCTCTACTCCACCTCTGTCTTTTAGCACATGACTTTCCAAAAGTTGCATTTTCTTCAATATGAGTGCGTCGGAAATAGGGACTGAAAGAATGCGTGCAGAACTCTTAGGAACAGAGCGAAATTTTTCGAATTAATAGGTTTTCGACTGTGGATTGGAAAAGCGACCAGACCACGGAGCATAAGAAGATTGGCTGCTTTCATAGTACGCCAGTCGGAAGTTTTACGCCGTTTTACGTCAGCCGGCGCGCCGGCACGCCGGCGGACTATGAAAGCAGCCATTCCCACATACACAGCGCTGAGGGTCTTAATAGTTTCCCACAGAAGTTACAGATCCGACTCGAGCAGAAAACCATGAAAAAACAGCTGAGGTATTATTTGGCTACCCAAATGCCGTAGAGTTTCATTTGAAAGTACTCAGTTAGGTTCTTGAGCAGTAACCCAGACGCTTTACCTGGTATAGTGATATGTTCCATTTACCTTCAGGATCCCCACATACACTACTCTGAGGGTATTAATACTTTCCCAAAGAAGTTTCAGATCCGACTCAAGCAAAAAACCATGAAGAAACAGCTCAAGGTCCAAAACCGCTTCTCCAATTTGTTATTGTTTGGCTACGCAAATGCCGTAGAGTTTCCTCTGAAGGTTCCCGGGTAGATGCCTGAGAAGAAACCCAGACGCTCATCTGATATAATGATGTGTTCTATTTACCTTCAGGATGCCTTCAACATCATGATATTATTGTTGGGTGAGATACGGAGTTGGTTCATCAAACATCACACCGTTTCATCGAAGTTGTTTACATGTAGGTCTCAGCCTCCTTTTCATGCCTGCGTTTCTTTCCCTCGCCCATTTTCTGCAACAACCGACAACCAAACACAACAACTCACTAGCAACACCGAAATAGCCAATGCCTCGTGTTGTTTATGGGGGATCCCGAAGCACGTGATTCAGAGTAGTGTCTATAAAGGCAGAGTTGGAAAGCCAGTTCGTCTGCAAGACATTTGAGCTCGGTCTCGAAAATTGCACGGAATAGGTCTTGTCCAAGGGGCCTTGTGCCTTCTCGGTTGGCAAAAGACTTTCATGTTTAAGGGATGGTTTTGCATTTGAAGTTGGTAACTATGCTGTTTTTGAGCAGTTGCCACTATTACTCATCTGAATGTGTTTGTGCATTCAGACATCGTCAACACCATCATTTGGTGTGTCACTGCAGAGTAATGAGCTCTATGCCAGAATAAAAAGAGGCCAATGAATGAGCAATTGCTCTCAGTAACGCCAGCAGTGATATTTCGAGGTGTCTGTCAGCATATTTACATTATGATGAAAAGATAGAAACAGTGTTTTCCAGTTCTAGGATGTGCCCATGCACTCGGATTCCGTTGGAAAAGGCAGTGACATTCAAAACGTATTTGACCTGAAGGGGCGATTTGATATGCATGGCTGAACTTCCGCTCTACGAGATGAATCTGATACCGATCGGTCGACTGGAAAACGTAAAATGCTTGGTTGGAGGTGCCGGCAGCAAACCGAGAAATGATCTCGGGACTGGTGACCGTAGCCCTCTGGATCCATAAATTACTTTGAATACACTTAACTGGGGTTGACTGTCGCACGAAGTTAATGTTTATTAAGCATGTTTACTGAAACCGTTTTTTCGCACTTGTGCCTATATTGAGATTTTCCTTTGAAAATTTTTTTCTGCTAACCTGCGATATTCTGTGTATATAGTAACGGTATGCAGATAACATCAAGAGGTGTCATTGTAAACTATTAGCACTTTGCAGGAACAATGCACGTTTTGCAACATCCAGGACGCTATAAACCGTCTCAAAACCAACTTGATCAATCGAAATAGTAAACACTGCAGTCTATGTAACTTCCCCTACAAGGCACAGTCTAACTTTCCTCGCTGTGTGAAAGTCCGATCCTTTAGAGTTCACGAATACCAGTGGTCATTTTCTGCACCACCTCGGCGTTGAATTATCACATCTCCTAGGAGTGGCTCAGATGCTTTGAAAAGTTTTTCTGGTTGATGAAAGCTAGCGAATATGTATGGTGGGTTAAGCAGAGTTTGTAAACTAACTCTTGAACTTCAGTGGGATCGCCATTGAAGCTTGCGATGAAGTTGGAATTCACGAACCATTTGAATTGTCCGTTCTGTTAAGTGCTCAAAGGTTTCATCTTCATCCATCTTTTGAGTTCCCGTTGTGTGAAGTACCCACTCCTCATATCACGTGATAAACTATCAAGAAATGATCCATACTTGTGGCGTAACGGAAGCATTAAAGGCACCTATCACAAAAAAGTTAGGGTACCCTTTTCTGACGGGAATTGATAGAACTACTCTAGAATAAAGCGATAACAACGAAAAAAGCTCAAAAAACGATGAACAAAAAGAATTAAAAAGGGCCAAAAAAAGAGCTGGAAAGGGGTTTGGACGAGTTTCACAGTGAAAGAACGTCGGTTAGAGAGTGTTCGGGCAAGTTGGCAAATTGCCAGGGACGGCAAATTGGCAACTTGCCAGAGACGCAATGTGTTGTCTGCAATAGCATGCAACACATTGCGTCCCTGGCAATTTGCCAATTTGCAATTCAGGGTGGGTCCTGGCGCGATTAAATGACACTGTGTCGTCTCGACACTCGTCTAACGTGACACCGATCAAGGGGCGGAGGGCGACCGTGGATATCTGTCCGGCCCCTGATTGTGCCCTATTCAGCCGTTTTCCGACCTCATTCCTGCACAAATGGTATCAGAGGGGGCGTCGAATTCAAACTATGTGCAAATGTCCGAAAGAATGTTTTTGTTAACAGTGCCTTTAAGCACTTATGGAATAGCACGGTTGATACCGTATCCATTTGCTTGATATTTTCACCTCTCAAATGTTTTTCGAGTAGCGGACGACTATTAAACGGTAAGCGGCTGATTCTTGGGTCTTGAGGTTTTTTAGAGGAAAAACTTTGATGATGGTTTCAGCAGGACAACCCCAAGTACACGAGCGCGTTCGCAATCTTCGTTATTTTCAAGGCTCCTTTTCGTGCTGGTCTCATAAAACTCCTAACTGTTTCCGCTGTAATGCCGCCCTGTCTAGACATATAATCTTCCAGCTGTAGGTAATGACCAGACACAAATCTCATTCAGAGTCATTGTAAAACTAATGATCACAACGAAATGTGCTACAGTACGCTATACGCTATACAACTCATAATATTAATCATTCCCCCATACACTAGAAACAGTGGTTTCATGAAGAAGTTGGCGGTTGTTCTGATTTTCGTTTGTCTTCCTAAGTAATCTAGTTGGAGTGCTCCAACAAGCGTCACAAAAATGCATATGCGTCATAACACATCATTCGTAGCGAAAAACTTTAAACATTGTTTGTTCTCAAGCACACTGAGAAAATGCATTCATTCTACACGTCTTTCGCTAAAAGCAGATAACGCCAAGCACCAAAAACTGGTGGTCAGCGCGTGTCAACGTAGGTCATCCGATTTTGCCGTCCTTTTGGGTGTTTCGTGCCTAGCTGCGCTCTTTTTGAAATATTAATTGATTGCAGCCTCTGCATTGGCTTTTGGCAATTCCAACTTTATTCTTTATTTCAGAACAAGGCGGCTAGGCACGCTATTGCGTGCGCTAGGGGCTCTAGCCACTAGGGACCGAACCATATGAGCTTCCGATTTTCATTGCAGAACTTTATCATCTGAGCCTCTTCCCTGACACCTCTGTAGCGGCCATCGTTTTTTGGGAAGTGAGATGGGGCCGTGTGTGGCCATAAAGAGTACTTAATAATCTCAATGTAAGCCCACTTTGGTGCCAATCCCGCCCACTTATGAAATCTGACCACATTTGTTCTACTGAATTTTACCACTTTTCCCGCATCTCACATCGTTCCTAAATAGCTTCAAAATTTTGATCTAAGCCCCGGCCGCTCTAGTGCCAACCCACCCACTTCTGGGTTTGACCTTATTTGTTATTTCACACCTTAACACCTTCTTGCCGCATCCCAGAACGTTTCTGAATAGAGTTGTACATTTTTGATCTAAGCTCCGCCCACTTTGGTGCCAGCCCCGCCCACTTCGATGGCTTGGCCACATTTGTTCCATGACCACCAACCACTAATTTCCCGCATTCTAGAACGTTTCCGAACGAAGTTACACTCATTTTTGAAAAGTAGCTTTCACCTTAACGCACGCCCCGCCCACCGTGGGCGGGGCTTCGCTAAGCTTACCAATGCCCAGCACGCAGAAGGCCCTGCTCACTCTTTTTATTTTTTCCTGGCCTCTGCGCCTTAATTGAATCGAGTTATGAACACATCTAAAAAGTACCGCCCATTTTGAGAAAGCTCCGCCCACAGCGCGTTGGTCTCCACCGTCTAGTTTCTTGTCCCAATCCCCACCTTTGAACATTTTTCCCCGGTGTCTGGACTTTTTCGAAGCAAAAATAAGATGTTTGACTGTTGGCACCGCCCATCCCGACGCTTGCCCCGCCCCCCGTGGGCGGAGCTCCGCAGAGCTCGTATGTGCTCTATTAATTTTGTCTTGAGCTCCACCCATCCCGAACTTGTCCCGACCTCTAAAAGTGATTTTTCAGGTAAAACCAGATTGTGTGACATACAAACAAACAAACATACATACATAGATACATACATACAGACAGACACACCAAACTTGTGGATTATATATAGTAAGGATACTTTCTTGTTCCTTTTCATTTGTACACACAAAGAGAAAGAGATTCTACTTATCTGAACAAAAGAATAATATTGGTTCATATCGCCCTGAATCGGGGGACGGTCATATCGTGCGTCCGAGGACGCGCGAGGCAAACTGCGCGGCGAAGATCGAGACATTTTGAACGACTCTGACGCCAATTTTTGGGGCACAAACTCGAAGTAGGATGGTTTGGTAGGGTCTGATGATCCTTCTAATCTACTCTACTTCAAATTTTGGCCCCAATGATAGGCTCTTGCCTGGCCGTTCAAACCGTTACGAACTTCGCCACGCAACTTGCCGCGCGCATCCTGGGACGCACGACTTGACACATACCCCTCTGAATCCGTGCCCTGTGAAAAAAAAAATCAAATATAATCAAGTCAGGAAGAAAAAGAAAGAATTCCACGAGCGCCAAGCCTCGCTCATTAGTTGAATTCAAGTAATTACTGCACTAGCACGCCATGTATGTTAACGTTATATTTCATAGGGTTGAATCATATGAATGCCACAACATGAAACAAAATAGGTAAAAGTATTTATTATTAAGTTGTCGACTGGACTACGATAAAGCATCTCTCTCCTTGAGTTGTAGATGAATAAGTTGTTCGTGATTTGCAGACAGCATTCGGCTAAGTCTTCTCAAACCCTCACGACTAATTGTAGACGAGGCTCGTGTTCGTCGCATACCACTGCGAATGTAAAAACTTTGCTCATCTCCCGTTTCTGGCGATGATATACTGAAATGACGTATTCTGTGAAAGCGACCCTGGGGAGTCAATCTCATCAGTTGAGAATGTTCCCTGTTCATCCATCTAGTCAGAACTGAATCACCTGTATTAGCCACATATAAGCACAGAGCTCTAACGCGGACCGCTGAACATAAACGGACTGAACGAGAAAAAAGAGAAGAAGCACCACATAGATCACAATGACGGCACGTAGGAAACGTGAACGACGGACGGTATGTGAACGTGAACTGACACTTCCGACTCTCACAATTCTCAGAAGACCTGATGTCTAAACAACATTGATTTGACGACAATAACACAATGGTAATAAACACAGATGCCTAAATCTATTATTCTGAAGCTATTGAACTAATCGTAAGCACGACAGATACAGGAAACAAATCTAATTTGAGAAGTCTGGCCGTGGTATGCAAAGCTCAAGGCCATGCTGACGTTGAAGAAGGGAAAGGTCAAGAAAAGCCAGAAAGAAGCACATATGTAGAGTGGCTATGAATGGAGCGCTGACCAAGTAAGCTGATGGGGATCAAGAAAAAAGTATGTAGTTCGTGTAAACTTTACAGATTACACCTTGAGAGCGATTTGAATAGGCCCACAATTCGCGCATCACAGTCAGAACTGCAGAATTTCGCCTGAAGAGCGCGCTTTGGTCTTGAGCACTGCAGCTCAGCACTGCTACATATAGTTAGATCAACGAACGATGACTTCGAGGTCGGCTTGTAGCTAAAGTTTGGAATAGCTAGTCGAACCACAGTGGAATGACATAAGATCTGATATAATAGTGATTTGAAGCTGAGGAAGAAGAGGGAGTCAACGGTAGTCGCAGCGAAATGGGCATCTAGGGAATAGTAGCCGGAATCGAAAATCCGTTTCAACGTTACACGGCGGCTAAATCTGTAGGTAGTAATTACTAAGATAAGTAGAAATGGACTGTCAAGGTTACCCTGGGATACTTTGATTTCTCTTGTATTCAACATTCTCAGTGCGACTGTCCTTTAACGTTCTGTAACTATACAAGTTATTTTTGATTTATAATAACTTCTTGCAAGGTATTCGCATAAAAGCAATGAACAGCGTTTCAAATGGGAAACAGGAGACCTTTTACTGCTGTAAAAATATGTCTATGTGCTAGCATCCGAGCTCCAAGAAGACGACGTATACAGCGACTTGCTTTTGAACCGTGTGATCGTCAATTCATTTCGTCTTCTGAGGCAATAAACTCATGAATAATGAAGGATTCACATGAGCTGGCTCCTGAGTAGAAGCCAAAAGGTCCCTCTCCGTAAAGGATGCATCAGTCCTATCGCAACTTGGTTAGCATGGAAGCCTTCTTTAAGAGCGCATCAATGAGACCAATTCAATATGATGGCTAAATATTATAGCAAGGAACAACTTCATCTGACCAATTCCGATTCTATGTGACGCTGCCCATGCCTTGCGACGTCCAATCAATTAAGAACCGTAAAGCAGGTGGTCGTTCTCCCGATGAGGTGAACAAATGCTGCTTCTCTTAGCACAGCTCTAAAGGCCAGATAAGCATAGTCTTGTGTGTCGAAACGACCTATCCTCCTTGGAGCTTTTTAACAAGGAAGAGCAATAGCTTCTCCAGAGTCGTGTTCTAGCATTAGTATTTGCATATCTGAGCAGTGGGTGGGTTCGCGAGACTACTCCTTCGATAACGAATACCAAAGACGATGAGTTGAGAACCTTGTTGGTGCTACCATAATTCATAAGTTCTTTGTAGAAGCAGTACGGTAGTCGTGATCACTGAAGGAATACTCATTCCATTAAACAGCGGTAATCTCTCAAAAAGTGTGAAAACAAAGAAGCTTAAGCGTTGTGGAGAGGATCTTAAGGAATTATCTCGAATTGAAGCCGTGTATCTTGGACAAAAATTGCAATCAGAAGACGCACGTGTTGCGGGACGTCCTTGCCGACCCAGTTCCCCACGTAATCAAGTTTTGTTTTGTGTAGCTTGTATGATTCGCATTCTCATCGTTATGATGTAGAATAATTCATCACATAAAACTTTACGACCGCTGTAGCTAGTTTACCCAACGGGAATGACTGTAGAAAGCGACTCTATTATTCGTACTGCCATCATTCAGAGTTGTACCCCCGAAGTAGCTCCGCACTACACCCCTATCCCCTCGTTCATTATACTATCTCTCACCAAAGTTTTCGCTTCAACTCTATTTGTTCCTCATCATTCCCTATTCTTGTGTAGTACTCTTATATTTTGTCATATCTAATACTTGACTTGATATATAGCCACAGTTTATAACGCAGTGTCTCGCATGCATGATTCCTTCAACATTCGTTGTTCATTGTGTACTGATTTGTTCGATAGAACACCGGAAATTAAAGACACAGTTCACATAGTTTTGAGGTACATTGTTTAGGTTGAAAGGCGGAAGTGTTGATGTAGAGAAGTGCGTAGGTAGCGAAGAAAGCAAGAAAATCTGTCTACTTCAAGCTTTTCAAAAGTGATGGAGGTGGAGGTTGTAAGAGATCACTGCGACAGGAATGGCAAGTAAGGGGTACTTGGACGAGATTCAACTTGCTCCCATCGTGCAAAGAGCAGATTACCTCAAGAGAAAACTGTCCAGAATTCCCTTTCGCTGTCGCTATGGGTCATGATATGTTGTTTGAACTTCCTACATTGGTTTTCTTGTGGATGGTACAGCTTTACAAAGCCGTTGAAACTCGTCCACTGGGGGTGCGGCATTCACACGATACAACTGTGGTTCCTTATTGTGCTTATTGTGCCCGATTATAAGGACGTTTTTCGCCCTTATAACGACATGATTGTATAAAAGGGAGCCTCGAATTCATACTGTGGGAAATTCTCAGAGATCATTTTTATCGTGAACTGTGCCTTCAAATGAAAATGGAGGTATAACAATTATAGGGCTTTTTGAAAGTTCCTTCAAGAGCTCTGATTTTGTTTGATCGCCAGTAGAGATATTGGTTTTGATCACTTTCACTTCTGAAACACTTGTAGAAATGAGTAAAAAATTCTTGATTCAAAACTTTTCCGCTGTTTCTGATATGAATGTTTCCTATAGCTCCGGCAAAGAGGTAACGGCAATGCGAACCTTCTTCTTCTTCTCCTTCTCCTTCATCGCTTCGAATTGATGAACCTACTGGGGTGCATCGCCTCGCGATGGCGACAGGTCAAAAGGGCAGGCAGACGCCTCCGAAGTATTCCTCTAGTACCCCACGCAACATGTGGAAGAGAATAATCAAAAATCATGGCTTTGTATAATCATGCCATGCCTGACGCCAAAATTTGAGGAGACTCAATTCTCTGTTCCAATTCATTTCTTTTTGGCATTGGCTAGAACGTAGCCGATGCGAAAATGGGAAATCAATAGGAGTCCCTTTGGTTCTGGAGCATTTTGCTATCTCAAAAGCAAGAATGTAGTCCAACCTGCTGAACGATGTATTACGTCAATAAAGTAATGCTTCAAGGGAATGATGAACGAATAGTGCATAGGTGATGTTCGAAATCTAAGGTACTCGCTCTCTCTCCTAGATTAGCCAAACTCTGTTAGGCCAGCAAAGATGGATCGTGACAAATTTGGAATAGTAATCGAAACAGATCTATGCATTACATTTTACACTGTTTTGCCGTACAGGTTTGTTATGGTAGAAACCGCTTTGTATGGTCGACGCTTCGAACAAATCGTCGTCTTCAGGACCTGAAAGCAGTTCGGAGCTCCTGATCTGTGACTTACCCTACCAAGCGCCACAACGCACTAGCCCAGGTACCGTTCCCAGAAGCTTGAACACAAAAATATCCCAACCAAGAAACCAACCCTCTGCGGTTCCACCAGCGTTACGTTCCACTCTATTTCGTGAACAACAAGGGGCTAATGAGACACCATTGATGATAAGAATAACGTGGGTGACCTCAAAGCCTCAAAAAGGTAATGACTGGGATTTGTCTCGCGGATGTGCAACGCTTCCAAGACCATTCTAGCACCTCATTCTCATAGGCTAGGATTTTGCATTTAACACGTTGGCGACCATGCGCCCCGATGCCAGGACGCACGTTTTTGGCTCACTGGGGTATTTATATTATTTATCAGGTGTCGTTTTTTTTTCATGTTTTCATGTATCAGCTGAGCTCACAGCCTTCTAGAGAATCTTGAAGCATTGCGGTCCAGGAATCATTCTTCTTTAACTACAGATATAGGAGAAAATAAAGGTTAATGTAAGGACAATATAAAAGCGCGGTCGCCAATGGATTAATTTCAAAACCATTGCCTTGATGTACTTCTAGTCGATGCTTCGCAAGTGGCCTAAAGAGCCTTTCTGGCCTTTTAAGCGCTAGATGTTCTTTGACGCATGACACAACTACTGTCAATGGTGTTCGTTGGTCCCCTGTCGTTCACAAAATTGAGTGGGACGGCAACGTTAGTGGAACCGCAGGTTGTTGGTTTCTCGGTTGGGATCTTTCGGTGTTCGAGTTTCTTGGAACTGCTGCAACTAAGCTAGCGCATTTGGCCGCTTGGTCGGGTAATTCACAGATCAAGAGCTCCGAACTGCTTCCAGACCCTGAAGGCAATGATTTCTTGTTGAACAGAATGAAAACTGATTTCTTCTGAAGTGTGTTACAGTGACAGATGAGAAATGATTTGCGTTCAACGACATCGAACATAACAATGGCCTGGCCTTCTCAGCGAATAGCCATTACCCAGTCCAAAAAGTAACAGTCATGCTCTCTACTGCTAAACTAGACTACACTACTCATTCTGAGTCGTTTCGGCTCAACTGGACCATCAGTTTTGAGAATTAATGTACACTGATTAGCCGAATAAGTAGAAAACAGCGGTGTGGCCTCCTATGGGGTGACGATAAACCATGCAAACTTCGGTGCTAGCAGAAAACAGTGGAGCCTGGTCGAGATGTCCTACTACATCGCTGTCGATTCCACAACATCCCCACTGGGACTTGCTTCTTATGAATCCATCTGGAAAATCATCCCGTTCCCCCAAAAGACTGCAAAGCATGCCAGGAATTTTCGGCTATGAATTTATTCATATTCGATGAGAGAGGAAATATTAAAACGACAATGAAGACGCAGCTGAGACTCAATGAACCAGTGGATATATTGTCTGGGAAACTGGTTTGCCTTTTCTCTGAGATTCTTTTCCATTCAAATTGAGAATGAGGAAACTCCCACGCGACTAGTGGAGGAAGAATCAACTATCATTTCCATTCACAATTCTCTTTACGTGACTGTCCTAGACCTGTTTCATTCCCTCCACGAAAGGTTTTAGTGGTGTAGAAGTCCCAGCAGAACTAATTCAATAGATAGCAGGTGAAGCACTATTTGCAGGTGATGGCCATGCAAAACTACGATGAACCCATGCATTTCGAACAGTTGGGCTCCTAAGTGAAACGAGTGAGAAAAAAGAGTTAAGCGACAGTCATGTTCACAGCTATAGAAAGCAGGTAGTGGAAAGAGGGCTGTGCGCAATATTGAAGTGCTTAAAAGAATCGGTTAATGTGCTGAAAAGGTAGAGTCCGGAGATCGATCAGCTGATTTCGTAGAACAACATTTAAAGATACTTTACAGGAAGATAGACTGTATTCAATCTTACTTTGGAAGTTCTTGTCCAGCTGTGTCCAACTGCATGTTGCGAAGTTTGTTTCGAGCCTTTTCGGCTTTATCACAATTCAGTCCAATCCACCAATCACGAATCTATCAAATATGAAGTCTAAGACGTTGACAGGTTACAAATGGACCACCCTTATTAGGTACTAAAGTAAACAACAAAGTAAACATCCGTAAAACCACCTTTCCTAAAACGGTTAGCTTTAAACGAGATGAGTCATGCCTTGATTCAATGCAATACTCTCCAAAAGCTAACAACAGAGCAATAATAAGTCCCGTAACGAGAACGTAGAAAATACCTAAAATAAAATAAATTGGTGACTTTTCGTGACAGATGACGTAGTATTTGTACTCGTGTATCGTTTGCTCGCTGTGGTGGAATCGTTTTTATAACTCGACATTCATGGCAAGGGTCCTGGAAGTATTTCGGGAGTAGCAGTTTTCAGCCTCTCCGGTCATGCACCGGGGCCAACTAGTTCGGTTGCAACGATTCCCAGAAACCAGGCGGGGAAGATTATAATCCAGTAACCATTCTTCAGCAGCCCTATTTGCGTATTCGTCGTACCAGTTCAAGAGAACAACATGAGACAAATAAGATACAATGAATAGCATCCGTTTGTTACGTCTATAAAGAATAAAGGATAAAGGGCGGAGGTGGTGTAGTGGCAAGTGGCGCACTATCCCACAAGCACGGTCAGGGGTTCAAATCCCAGATCGATGCCCGCCTAGGTCAACCAAGCCTTCGATCCCTCCGGGTCGGTGGATTGGTACCAGACTCGTCTGGGAGGATAAAAGCACTGACTTGTACATCGGCTGGCCACCGCAAGTCATTGTATAGGCCACATACGCACTCATCACGCCACTACGATTCTGAATGGAAGTCGAGTGCGGGGGCATATCCCTCAGACGGGATTGATTAACGCCAAAAACTTTATCCTTCAAACTTTACTTTATGAAGAATAAACTCCCATGCAAAAAATGGGTGTTCCCCTCTGACGGGTGTTCGGGTTATGATTTTCGATTTTCCAACACAGTAAACCAGAGGCAACAGATCGTTCTGCGGAACTCGTTAGTATATGATGCATCATCAATGGTCTTTCATACCGGATAATTGGCATAGCTATTCGGCAAGGTACGAATGAACAGGCTAGGTGAATGAATGATAAATGTCCTGATTCACAGCCAATGCGCAATATCTCTCACGAGTATGCATGCTGTGGCAATAACCCCGTAATCCGTCCGAAATTTTATAGCTGACAATGAGAGTGAGAAGCACTGCGCTTATCCAATGTTCATCCATCTACGACATACCGGTTACGAGCAGTAGAACGCACTACCCAGCAGGGGAAGCACAGTATGATACCAAGATGGCAAAGCTTTTGGTGTTGGTCAGTCCGACTGTAGATTACCCCAACCGACTAAGTGACTGCCTTGCCTATGCAACAGCCCTAGCAACAGAGAAACGTGCTTTCGTTTCTCCTCATGATTCCTTCACCGACTAATTCACCCCTTGGGATGGTGTAGAACTTTCTAGCAAAGGTGGGTATCTATCACAGATTCGATACTTGGAGTAAATGGGTGAGAATGGTGATGCTATCCCAACTCCCACCCGGGAAAGTCTATACATGAGGCTGATGAGGTGGTCCCTGTGTGGAAAAGAGGTAGGATGCATGACCATTTTAAGGATTCATTAGTAAGAATTTGCTTGTTCAACTGTTCCAATAAGGCTGTAAAAGGGGGAAGTCTAGGTCTGAAAGTGTGTAGATAGCAAAGACAACCGACCAAAAACACTTTGAGGAGGTGAAGCTCGAGACTTCTCTGCCTGAGGAGAACAAGACGGACCTTCTGAAGGTACAAAAGTAATTAGCGGAAATTGCATATTTTATCCGATATAGTGAGTGCAAACCTCTCATATCACGCCACCATTTACTTTTGAGCGCCTCGAGTATAGTCCGTTCCTGCAGTTGAAGGACTGTCCGGGACAGAATGTCTCTGAGTGGTGATCCTTTGGGAAGCGCAATTCCGTAACCCTGAAGAAACAGTCTATTATTCTACGGGTACTGTGAAAAACAGGTGGAAAACCACCTTCGAATCCAGAAGACCACCAATGCTTTGCAGTTGACAGTCTCTTTCCATGTAGTACTCCACCATCGATGACTCCATCATATACGCATAGTTGCCCGCCTTCACCCGAGCGATTCCTTCCTGAAAAAGGGCAGTTTAAGAGTGAGGCAGAAAGTACTACTCTTAAGTGGGTCAGTACAGTGCTCATAGTAATTTTCAGCCCCTAGCACACTTTTGGCACATTTCTTTTGTAACGCGTTGGTTGAACATCTTACTGAAGTAGTGTTGCATCGCACGTCACTGTAGGACGTTAGTCCACCGGGTTAGTTGGTGAGTCAACTAATCCCTCAAACGTACAGTTTACAATAATTTTGAGGTACCCTTTTCCAGCCGAAAAGCGGAAGAATAGGTAGGGAATGAGCAGTGGTGGTGAAGGAAGCGAGAAAATTCGCCGCTTTTGAGAAAAAAAGGGTCCGTAGAGTTTGTACGTGAACACCATGACGGAAATGACCTGAAANAGGTATTTGGACGAGGTTTTAGTTGTTGTTGCAAAGTTTGTTTGTTGCAGCTGCGCAGAGAGCTGACTACATCAAAAGAAAACTGTCCAGAATTCCCTTTCGCTGTCGCTATGGGTCATGACATGTGGTTTGAACTTCCTACATGGGTTCCCTTGAGAATGGTGCAATGCCGTTAAATCTCGTTGACGGACACACACAGGACAATCTTCGAGGCCTTAATGTGCCCTATCTAGACTGTTTTCCGACTTGATGGTGCCACCTATGGTATACGAGGGGCCACAAATTCTTCCCAGCGAGAGATCTCGTGAGCCATTGTATCATAAAGTGTGCCTTTAATATTGAAAAAAAATATTCATTCATGTGTCTGATTCGTATCAGTGTCAATGTATCAACACTTCACGCCATTCAAGGAATTTCTTGCCGTTAGGTTTCAGTGACAGGAGTTGATCGTGCTATGTAATAGGCTTCATAAATCAAGCGGGTCGCATAGCAGTACAGAAAGAAGTATTGACGGTCGGTTGAAGTGGCACTGATTTCAACGCAAACAACGACCAGGCTACACTAGTGATTAGAAATTGTTTCCCTTACCTAAAGGCGCTTCTCTGACACACAGTTTCACATTCAAATTAGATCTGAGAGCAATTTTGTAAATACACGGCACAAGCCATAGGACTGTGTCTCCGGAAAACGTCTTCATTAATAGGCTCAAACCTGAAGCGCTTCAGAAACTACAACAGCCTCCTACCTTCAACTACATAGAGTCCCCATGCTGTTAGTCTTACACTCTATTTAAAGAATTCAGATCACTTCAATTTCGCTCTTTTCACGATCTCGCGACTGAATTGGAAATTAGGCTTGGATTCGATTTAAAAGTTGAGTTTAGCTGTGTCAATACCCTTCGACCAGTAAGCTGCAAAGTACAGGCAGGCGCTCTATGCTTCTTGACATGTTTTTCTTTTTGAATTAATGGCGAAGGGAAGAACTGAGTCAACTAGGCTGCTTAAATGATGCCGCGACGAGCTGTGTTGTAAAGACCAGATCCACTCAAATCGTTGCAAGAACCTTCAGGTCCTTCAAAGAACTTCCAGTTTTCATTACCATTCTGAAGTAGAGCGGAGAAAAACACCACACATTCCTGCGAAGCTGTGTCAACACCTTAAGACCAGTAAGCTGCAAAGTACAGGCAGGCGCTCAATGCTACCTCACACCTTTCACTGAAAGACAGGAACTTTTGCAGAACCGGGTTTCCTGCACGAATAGATTAGCATCTCTGGATTACGATTGGAAGCTGGATGATCTTGCTAATATAAAGCATACTGTGCTTTGAAAGTGTTTCTCAAAACCCAAAAGACCGTGAATAGCTGTTATGGTGTTTTAGTAGTTGAAAGGGAGCGTTGCCTGGGATTTGGCTACTGCTCGTCAACTACTAGCCAACTACAATCTCTTTTACTCCTACAACTCCTCTGGTATAGGCCATCGCAGTAGTTCCAGTTATCTGAAATTTTGCAGTCAGCAATCAAGTAAGGGGGAAATCAGTCGTTGTCCGGATCGACTACTCGCTAGAAGACTACAGGATGATAGGACTACAGAACCCTTTTCCGTGGGAATCAACTGTGCCAGGGAGTGTGCACATTAATAGGTTATCGCACAATCGAGCGATCATCCACATCGGGTAACTACAAGCTTACCATCCTTGTTTTTACAGAGACTTCTATTACAACTTATGTGAGAGTTGTATCGTTATAGTTACAGCAATATGTCATGGTGAACGCCTCGCCTTCTTGGTTACCTTCAGAATAGGGCAGATAACGATTATGTGAAAAAAGTAGGAGTAACGATATTCTGGTACCGAACAAACTGTTACGTATTGTCGGCCGATGGTTAATTTTGCAGTAAAATCGAAAAAGCCGATTTCGACAACAGAAAGAAAGGAATCTAATAAATTCCAGGCCTTACCAGAATCCATAAACGATGTCTCCTTCAACTTCCCGACAAACAGAATCTTTCAACTAGCGGGAAGACTTTGCAAAAGGCTTGTTTCTACAGTAGCGCTCAAAAGTGTTCAACCAAACGCTTTCACGCTCTTCGTTCATAGCTTTTTTCACAGTGGAGCAAATTGCGCGAATTTCGATATGTTTAACTTAAGCATATTTCACACTATCAAGCACTACTTGACTGCAAAGCAGCAATATCCGCATAACTAAGAGCAATACTTGTTGTTGTATTAGATTTCGCTAAAGGCGAAGTTATTGACGTCTACAGCTTACTTATGTGCGTCATTCTTCTCTACTGCGCTCGGCATGAGCGCTCGTACACTTTAGACATGGCAAAAAGGAAGGAAATTCCAGAAGGAACAACGTCTGTATTTCCAGTTGATTTTTTGATCAAGCCCTTTGGGATATCTGGAGCACGATCAGGTTGCAGGTTACTAGTGGTAAATATTCAGAATACACCCATGCTATACATATTGGAGTTTCGCTTGACTAGATAAAGT